TGCGTTCACAATTAAAGGCCTAAAAATTTGCTTTCATTTGTTTTCCGATTTTTGAGTCCAGATTTGGAGCCTGGCTATTTGTATGAATCGAGAACGAGCAAAAATAAGAATTCACTAGTTATTTTCAGTCTAAAATATCGTGGTGATCGTCAAAAAATATAATCTGATAGATTTTTAGTTTCCCAACTTTTCATAGTCCTGGAATTCAATTAATTTGGCAAACATGCGTGCGTGAATACTGTCTTTGTATCATTGATGCAGCACAAAAGGCACTATTAGAAACTGTGGTGCTGAAACTTCATATCAGTACTATCAGGAAAAGAGTGGGAAGCAAATGGAAAGAGGAAGAGGAAAGGGCTGTATTTAAGAAGGGAATATTACTAGGATTTTTCATGCGGATATCTGATTTGATATCGCACAGAGATGTGCCCTTACGAGAGAAGCAAGAATTCCAGGCCCTTCGTTCTTAGGCTCTATGTTCCAATTTAATATCTAATCTCTACAGTCAGTTGTTTGAAACCTCACTTACGCTCTTTTTGTTGGATTTGTCTACAATTTAAATTGAAAATCGTTTCTTCAGATGTATATTTTGGCCCTTTTGTCAGTTCTGTAAATGTGCTGGTAACTTCCCCAACTGCTTTGACCAGTGCTACCTTGTCTGGCAGCATTTTCGTTAACCGATATGATTTCGTGCGGATATTTTACTTATACTTTAACAATATTTAGGTATATTTTAGGGGTACAAATGTAAAACAAGGAGCACAATGAGTTGGCTTGGAGAACTATTGGAGCAGAACAGTTCCGATCCGCGTGAACGCCTGGAATTGGGGCAACAATTACTCTCGCAACTACAAATTTCACGACTGCCATCCGATTCGACACTTCTGAATGATTTCTGCGATCTAGTGGTGCAGTGGTTATCCGGATCTAACTATAAGGTTAGCTAAAATCAAAACCCCTTCTGCTTCACTTCGTGTAAAGGATAGCGACAATCGGATGTGGCGCGAGTGTTGGCACTTTAGCAGGAGCAATCAACCGTTTAGCTGGTTTCCTTTCCCAGTAGCTTAAATAAGAGTATATTTACTCGAGGAAACCAGGACTGCCTGGGCAGTAGGTCTGGAATCCCACATTAGTGATGTTACTGGGAGTATCACGTTCCCAGTCCAGCTGTGCTGGGCCTTCGATTCTGAACTGCATACCTCCATTTAGTGCCTATCGCTTGCTTCTTGTTTATGAAACATCTCTTCGGAGGCTGTCCAAATAATCGTTTTTTTTATCGTTAGTACTCACTCAGTAATAGGCGACATCTGTTGGGTGTCAGCAGAGTGACTTCCACAAGATAGGGAATATTACTTTTATCATTCCCTCAGGATTTTGTAAAACTAAAAAATAAGGTGAGAATTCCAAGAAGTTCTTAGATTTCGCAAGAGGAAGGTATATTTTTCAGGTAGCTTTATTGGCAGTGGAGATAATTGATGTAGCAATCGAGGTATCCGGCGATGTGGTCTCGCCGTATCTCATGGATCGAGCAACCGCTCTGGTGGAGCGTCTTGGCGATTCGAAGCAGAGCGTACGCGAAGCTATGGTACAACTAATTGCTGCGCTCGCAAATACACCACACTGCAGCCCACAGGTATTGTACATGAGTTCCGACATTGCTTTTCAATTTATTTCAGTAAAAACAGGGCAGCTGCTTGCCATGAATTTGCTCGGCAAATGAGTTAGCCTAAAGCCGTACAAACGCTTTTGCTGTATTGCTACTGGATTTGCAACTTTCAGAATTAACTAACGCAGTAAAATCATATTACGTAAAATAACAAAAGATATTTGTGCGTTCGACGGAATAGACGTAATCAAATATGGTCATAGAGCATTTTAAGGCTACTTATCCTCAGCATACTTTTTTTTTTCATTTTCAACATACTACTTATCCTCAACGTAATTTAAGGCTACTTATCCTCAACATACAGAGCATTTTAAAGCAACATAGGCTACTTATCCTCAACAAGCATTTAAGGTATGCGAGTGTCTTTCTGCCTCTCGCGATGATTCTATTCCCAAAGTATGCAAGCTAGGAAGCTGAAATTTTGGAGCATCGCTATGCGACGCAAATTCAGAAATTTAAAATCGCCTTTCACATCCTCCTACGCCAGGGAACTTGAAGAATTTGGCTTCACAGCATAGCATTACGTCAACACAGTCGCAACACTCAATGCAGCATCCTAGGTCTTTACTTAATGCATTCGACAAACAGGTCAAAAAACATAGTGATGATAAGGGTAAATTCCCTCATCAAAGCACACAGCAGAGATATGATATAAATAGAATAGTGCATAATCGGATTTGATGTAGATACACTAAATAGGTTCTGGATTACTGGACTACCTGATTTCATATTTCGTAGCTGGATTTGGCGCAAACGCGAGAATGCATTGTTGAATTTAATCCAGATACCATACATTTTTGAATCGCAATCAATTTTTTAATGCAAATTACTAAGAAAGCCAAAATTGCTCACTTAGTATGCATAAACTCAACTTGGAATGGATTAATTTTCTTCATATGAATTTTTGTCAGTGAGTGGTACCAACTTGAAAACAAATGACCATTTGAGCTGACCCCAAAGGGGTGACGCACATGTACTGAACAGGCGATGAGCAGTAACTGACGATATGCAACTTTGGATCGAAAGGCCTGGCATAATTGCATCCATCGTGTGGAGA